CGGGCAGCATAGTGGGTGACGTCAATGTGATGCGGGCAGCAGACCACAGCATGTGGCCTGGGACATCTGGTAACTCACGTGGCTGGTAGATCTACGTGACATCGCCAACACCCACGTGGCGTCGGGATCCACATGGCGTCGTGATCTACGTGGCATGCTGGTCTACGTGGCATGTTTATCCACGTAGCTTCGAGTGGCCTCGGGCACTCGGATACACAGCTCTGGCAATGAATTCACAAACAGCAGAAAACACAGCAGAGGGAGTGAGTAGTGGTGAGTGGTGTATGGTAGTGTGGTGGCGAGGAGCGTGGATGAGTGTATGGCGAGGGAGCATCTGGCCATTCCTCCACCTCCCACCCACAAACACAGGGAAACACACTGGACACAGAAATCAACACGAAACTCACCTCTGGCTTGCTGAAACAGCTGTGCAGAGCTGAACAACAACAGCAACACACAAGTGACACTAAACACGTGACTTGAGAAACAGCATGGGCCGCTGTAGCGTGGGGTCACTGGGGCGCCACTTACAATTCTCGAAGAAATTCGGTAAATTTCGGCTGGATCATGCTTGTACCTGTGTCTGGATGCTCAAATGTGCAGACGCGACATCAGGATAACTCGCTGAGAGACGGATGTTTGTTGTGTAGGGGGATGAAGTGAACAACTTCATTCCTTCCTTCCTCTCTCTGGGCAAACACACTGCTGCGACCACTGCTTCCCACCATTTATAAAGGATAATTTGGTGTTCTGGTAGCGGGGAGTAAATGATACGTCTTCGGAGGCTTCTTACTTTATTGTTAAGTCGTGGTGGGTACATCGGCTTGTGTGTTATGCCCATGGCCCGGGAGGGCCATCCCACGAGAGAGAGCTAGGAGTAGGCCTTGTGTCTTGCTGCTAGGCCGCTGTGTGAGTGAGAGCAAGGCAAGGGCAGGCAGGCTGGCGTGCCTACCGAGAGGCCTGTCTACAAAGGGCAGCATCTGAGCGGCGCGAAATATGAACTAGGCTGGCAGACAGCATGGGTTGTCTGTGCAGACAGTACAGGCTGTCTACATTACATCCTCTTTATTGATTCCTGTTTTCCATTTATACACCTCAATCATATCCCCCTTAATTCTACACCTTTCTAGAGAGTGCAGATGCAGGGCCCTCAGTCTATCCTCATAGGGAAGATTTCTGATACATGGGATCAACATTGCCATCCTCCTTTGTACGTTTTCCAGAGCATTTATATCCATTCTGTAATACGGTGACCAAAACTGTGCAGCATAATCTAGATGAGGCCTAACCAAGGATATACAGAGTTGAAGAACAACCAGAGGACTCCTGTTATTTATGCTTTTTGATATGAAGCCAAGTATTCTGTTCGCTCTATTACAAACTCTTATGCACTGCTCTCTTGGTTTTAGATTACTGTTAACCAGAACTCCCAAATCATTTTTGCAATCAGTAATATTAAGATCTACATTATTTAGTTTATATTTGGCATGGTTATTTTCCTGTACAATGTTTAGAACTTTGCATTTGTGTATATTAAACTGCATCTGCCACTTCTCCGACAACTGCATCAATCTATTCAAATCTTCCTGGAGTGCTCTAGTGTTCTCGTCACAATGAAGTCGACGGCCTGTTTTGGTGTCATCAGCAAATTTGCTCAAGTCGCTATTTATTCCCTCATCTATGTCGTTTATGTAGATTGTGAATAACAAAAGGCCCAACACTGACCCTTGTGGAATACCGCACGTGACGCTTCCCCACTTTGATTTCTCCCCTCTTTTGCAAACTCTCTGCTGCCTATTTGTCAACCATGCCTCTATCCAGGAAAAAATTTCTCCTCGTATTCCGTGTTCCTTAATCTACCTCCTCAAATACCTTAGTGAAAAAAGTTAATAAATTCGTAAGGCAGGAACGGCCTTTTGTAAAACCGTGTTGAGATTCGTTGATCAATTTATGCTTTTCAAGATAGCTACGAATTGCCTCGGCAATTACTCATTCCATAAATTTTCCAACTATGGAGGTTAGGCTTATTGGTCTATAGTTCGAAGAAAAGGACCTGTCACCTGCTTTGAAAATAGGTATCACATTTGCCATTTTCCACTTATCTGACACTATGCCAGTTTGTAGTGAAAAGATTAGCCAAAGGTTTGCTAAGCTCCTCTTTACACTCCTTTAGAACCCATGTGTGCAGTTTATCAGGCCTGGATCTCTGTTAGGTTTTAATTTATCTATTTGTCTAAGGACCATGTCACTTGTCACCCTAATCGTGCGTAGTTTATTATTCAAACTTTCAATCAACTACATACTACTAAACGCAATAATTGTGTTCTTATGGAACGGCTGGAAAAAATCGTCTAATTCTTCATCCAAATAGGATAACAGATCCGGAATCAGAAAACAGGTAAACAACAGAGCGACATCAAAACTTACTAGGAACCTTTGAACCAAGTGAAAGTAATTGTGGTAGGGGACCTAAATGCTAAAGCAGAAGAAATATTTAGAAAGGGTGTGGTAGGTAAGTTTGGGGAAATGGGAACCATTTGATTGAACTTTGTATAGAAAGGGGTTTAGTTATAGGTAATACATATTTTAAGAAAAAGAGGGTAAATAAGAATACAAGATATGATGTAGGGAGTAATGACAATAGTTCGTTGGACTACGTATTGATAGATAAAAGACTGTTGAATAGACTTCAGGATGTACATGTTTACAGAGGGGCCAGAGGTATATCAGATCATTTTTTAGTTGAAGCTACAATGGGAGTAAAAGGAAGAAGGGATACAAGGAAAACAGAAGCAGCAAGTAAGAGAGAGGTGAAGGAGAAGAAACTGAAAGAGGAGGCAGTTATGGTAAGATATAATCAATTATTGAAGGATAGATGGGCTAGTGAGATTATAGACAATGGGGTCAAAGATGCATGGGGTAGGTTTAAGAATGTAGTGTTAGTGTTCAGCAGAAGTTTGTGGTTACAGGAAAGTGGGTGTGAGAGGGAAGAAGAGCGATTGGTGGAATGATAATGTAAAGGGAGTAAAGGGAGAAAAAGTTAGCTTATGAGAGGTTTTTACAAAGTAGAAGTAATGCAAGGAAGGAAGAGTATATGGAGAGAAAAAGAGAGAGGTTAAGAGAGTGGTGAAACAATGTAAAAAGAGAGCAAATGTTAGAGTGGGTGAGATGTTATCAACAAATTTTGTTGAAAATAAGAAAACGTTTAGGAGTGACATTAATAAGCTGAGAAAGCTTCGAAAACAAATAGATTTGACAGTTAAAAATAAAAGAGGAGAGGTGTTAAATGGAGAGTTAGAAGTATTGGGAAGATGGAGGGAATATTTTGAGGAATTGTTAAATGCTGATGAAGATAGGGAAGCTGTGATTTCGTGTACAGGGCAAAGAGGAGTAACATCTTGTAGGAGTGAGGAAGAGCCAGTTGTGAGTGTGGAGGAAGTTCGTGAAGCAGTGGGTAGAGCGAAAGAGAGTAAAGCAGCTGGAATTGATGGGACAAAGATAGAAATGTTCAAAGTAGGTGAGGATATAGTTTTGGGGCGGTTGGTGCTATTATAAATGTATAGAAGAGGGTAAGGTTCCTATTGATTGGCAGAGATTGTGCATAGTTCCTTTGTATAAAGGTAAAGGGGACAAAAGAGAGTGCAAAAATTATTGGGGAATTAGTCTGTTGAGTATACCTGGTAAAGTGTATGGAATTAAGAGTAAGACGGAGAGTAGGATAGCAAATGAACAAGGAGTCTTTAGGAAAGGTAGGGTGTATGTAGACCAAGTGTTTACAGTGAAACATATAGGTGAACAGTATTTAGATAAGGCTAAAGAGGTTTTTGTAGCATTTATGGATTTAGAAAAGGCATATGACAGGGTGGATAGGGGGGCAATGTGGCAGATGTTGCTGGTGTATGATATAGGAGGTAGGTTACTGAAAGCAGTGACGAGTTTTTACGAGGATAGTGAGGCTCAGGTTAGAGTATGTAGGAGAAAGGGAGATTATTTTCCAGTAAAAGTAGGCCTTAGACAAGGATGTGTGGTGTCACCGTGGTTTTTCAATATATTTATAGATGGAGTTGTAAGAGAAGTGAATGCGGGGTTCTTGGCAAGAGGTGTGGAGTTAAAAGATAAAGGATTAAACACAAAGTGGGTGTTGTCACAGTTGCTCATTGCTGATGACGCTGTGTTTTTGGGAGATTCTGAAGAGAAGTTGCAGAGATTGGTGAATGAATTTAGTAAGGTGTGTAAAAGAAGAAAATTAAAAGTGAACATAGGAAAGAGTAAGGCGATGAGGATAACAAAAAGATTAGGTGACGAGAGATTGGATATCAGATAAGGCATGAAAGGGATCGGCCTAGGAAAGGTTGAAGGGAGGGGATGAAGAAGGTTTCGTGTACAAGGGGCTTGGACTTCCAGCGTGCATGCGTGTTCATGTTTGATGGAAATGAATGGAGACAAATGGTTTTTAATACTTGACGTGCTGTTAAAGTGTGAGCAAAGTAATATTTATGAAGAGATTCTAGGAAACCGGCAGGTCGGACTTGAGTCCTGAAGATGGAAAGTACAGTGTCTGCACTCTGAAGGAGGGGTGTTAATGTTACAGTTTTATAAATGTAGAGTAAAGTACCCCACTGGCAAGACAGTGGTGGAGTGAATGATGATGAAAGTTTTTCTTTCTCGGGCCTTGGTGGGAATCGGCCTGTGTTAATAAAAATAATTATATATATATATATATATATATATATATATTTTATATATATTATATATATATATATATTATATATATATATATATATATATATATATATATATATATATATATATTCATGCATTTTTAAAGAACATTTATATATTCTTTCATCTTCCCATGTCTTGTCATATTTTATCTAGTGTACAGTTTTGTAAAGTTTACCCCAGTGTGTAATGTGTGCTGCTTTAATTCTTGCTACATGAACACTAAAGTGTTGTAGTAACTAAATCCCTTAAAGCGTTTAAATATATTTATGGTTCAGGTGACGTTCTCACTGGAGCAGATCTGTGGTGGTTCATCACTCTTCCCAACACCAGAGAAGACGGAAAACATGATTATGAACCTCCTCCTGCCCATGTGCCTCCGTGTTGGTTGTGGACGTAAAGGTATGTTTGGCTTTATCCTACTTAACAAATATGTTCACCGTTTAGTTTGTGAATAATTAAAGTTACTCTAAATTTTATTTTGATGATTTTGTTGTTGAAAACGATTTTGTTTAAAATTTGATTGGACATTTATCATCCGCTTTTAAATACTCAAAGTATATATTTATTAATATTCATGTTTGAGTATATACAATACAGTGCTGGTGGTTCGTTTATAATAAAAAATTAGTAAAAATTACTTTTTTTCCCATGAGACAGTACAAATTTATTACAAACTAAAACGTTAAACCTATTATGGAAAGCATATTAAGTATAAGATCAATGGACTACACGAGGCTTTATGTTAAGTCCGCATCACCAATTAAAGATAATTTAATACTTAAAATAATAATGAGAGTAATACTTCAGCGAAGATACACACCGAGGGACATACATCTCTCCGTGTATATATCTGCCAATATTGTTGTTCTTATGTTTATTAATAATATTATTGCAATTTTGAAATTTGAAAACAAATTGATTACTCCCAACCTTCTTTTGAACTCTGCTTTAATGCTTCATCAGTTTATAAGAAAATAAATAAAATTAATCGTTCAAAAAGCCTAACTTAGTATAAGATTATTAAAATACAGTTTTGTCATGTGTTCTGCTCCAGGTAATGTAAGAAGCTTCACACTGGCACTTGTAATCACTTGATTTATATACATGTTTAATGCTTTCATTTGATTTATTTAAGTATTGAAGTAGTTAAAAACACTTTAAAGTTTTTTTAATAGGGTGTCTTGGACTATCTTGGAAAAGATAGTTACAGGAAAGCAGCTAAAATAATTCAGAAAGATCAAGTCTTCTAATTACAGAATAGTCACAATACAGTTACTGAAATAATACACAAATAACCTGCACAAATGAGAATGAAATCTAAGACGACTTTTCAGTCCTATTTGGACAATTAACTCGCCACTAGTTAATGGTCCAAGTCGGACCGAAACGTCGTTATATGTTTCATTCTCCTATGTGAGGGTTCCTTGTGATTTCTAATTAGCAATTCGTTCTGTTTCTGATCAACAAATTCCCGTAAATCTGTTGATTAAGCTACCATAACAGTCACAATAAGTAATGGGGAAAGAAATAGATAGGCAGAATGTATTTCCTAATGTTTCAAAAAAGATTATGTTAGAATTCTTTATGAAAAACTAAAATGGTATTTCAGAATTTATAAGAAGAAAATTATAATTTATACATATGGACCTGTGTGACAGTTTCTGGGTGCCGCTAATACCTTAGCTACTTACTCTCTGGGGTAATGTTACCTGCGGGGAGCCGCAGGGACTGGTTTAACATACTCATGGCATAATGTCATCTTTGCAGTGCCGCAGAGATCGGTATTACATTCTCATAAGAACATAAGAAAGACGGAACACTGCCTGTGCGAGGCAGCTCCAATTCTCGTACCGCCAATGTCTTGACTTAGTGAGGTCAGACACGTCAATTAAGGGAGGAGCAGTGCATCCGACCTAGTAGCACAAGCTAGTCAGGTCCAACTCACACCCACCCACACCCACTCATGTATTTATCCAACCTATTTTTAAAACTACACAACGTCTTAGCGTCTATGACGGTACTCATCCAAAACTCTATTACCAAACCAGTGCTTTCCTATGTCCATCCTGAATCTGATTTTTTCCAATTTAAAGCCATTCCTGGGAGTTCTATGTTAGATAATTTTAGCATGCTATTTACATCCCCTTTATTAATTCCTGTTTTCCATTTATACACATCAGTCATATCCCCCCTAATTCTACGTCTTTCTAGAGAGTGCAGATTCAGGGTCCTCAGTCTATCCTCTCGAGAAGATTTCTCATACATGGGATCAACTTTGTCATCTTCCTTTTTTACGTTTACCTGTGCATTTATATCCATTCTGTAATATGCTGACCAAAACTGCTCAGCATAATCTAAATGAGGCCTAACCAAAGATATATAGAGTTGAAGAACAATCTGAGGATTCCTATTATATATACTTCTTGCTATGAAGCCAAGGATTGTGTTAGCTTTATTGCGAACACTACAACACTGTTGTCTTGGTTTTAGATTACTACTAACCAGAACTCCTAAATTATTTCGCAATCTGTAATATTAAGATCTACATTATTTAGTTTATATGTGGCATGGTTATTTTGCTGTCCAACATTTAGAACTTTGCATTTGTCTATATTAAACTGCATCTGCCACTTCTCCGACTACTGCATCAGTCTGTTCAAATCATCCTGGAGTGCTCTAATGTCCTCATTGGAATGAATTGGACGGCCTATTTTGGTGTCATCAGCAAATTTGCTTATGTCATTATATATTCCCTCATCCATGTCGTTTATGTAGATTGTGAACAACAAGGGGCCCAACACTGACCCCTGTGGAACACCGCTTGTGACGTGCCCCCATTCCGATTTCTCCTCATTTGTGCAAACTCTCTGCTGCCTATTCGTCAACCATGCCTCAACCCAGGAAAAAATTCTCCTCCTATTCCGTGTGCGTTAATGTCACCTGTGGAATGCCACAGAGACTGGTGTGATAGCCTCATGATATTATATCACGTGTGAGGTGCCGCAGGGATAGTGTTAGGTGCTGCAGGTATAGTGTTGGGTGCTGCAGGGATAGTGTTTGATGCTGCAGGTATAGTGTTAGGTGCTCATGGAGTAATGTCACCCGTGGGGGGAGGGTGCCGCAGAGATAGTGTTAGGTGCCACAAGGATAGTGTTAGGTGCCGCAGAGATAGTGTTAGGTGCCGCAGGGATAGTGTTAGGTGCTTCATGGATAGTATTAGGTGCCACAGGGATAGTGTTAGGTGCTCATGGAGTAATGTCACCAGTGTGGGGGGGAGGGTGCCGCAGGGATAGTGTTAGGTGCCACAGGGATAGTGTTAGATGCCGCACGGATAGTGTTACTTCCTCTTGGAATAGTGTCACCAGGTGAGGGTGCCGCTGGGATAGGTGTCGTGTCCTCATCAGATAATGTCACTTCATCCTTTGGAACTTTTGGTCATCTGACTGAGGCCTTCCGCTGGTTTATCAGTCCACCTATTTAAAATTTATAGTCATAGTTATATCCATATATATATATATATATATATATATATAATATATATATATATATATATATATATAATATAATATATATATATATATATATATATATATATATATATATATAATATTATTTTTTTTTTTTATTATCACACTGGCAGATTCCCACCAAGGCAGGGTGGCCCGAAAAAGAAAAACTTTCACCATCATTCACTCCATCACTGTCTTGCCAGAAGGGTGCTTTACACTACAGTTTTAAACTGCAACATTAACACCCCTCCTTCAGAGTGCAGGCACTGTACTTCCCATCTCCAGGACTCAAGTCCGGCCTGCCGGTTTCCCTGAATCCCTTCATAAATGTTACTTTGCTCACACTCCAACAGCACGTCAAGTATTAAAAACCATTTGTCTCCATTCACTCCTATCAAACACGCTCATGCACGCCTGCTGGAAGTCCAAGCCCCTCGCACACAAAACATCCTTTATCCCCTCCCTCCAACCTTTCCTAGGCCGACCCCTACCCCGCCTTCCTTCCACTACAGACTGATACACTCTTGAAGTCGTTCTGTTTCGCTCCATTCTCTCTACATGTCCGAACCACCTCAACAACCCTTCCTCAGCCCTGTGGACAACAGTTTTGGTAATCCCGCACCTCCTCCTAACTTCCAAACTACGAATTCTCTGCATTATATTCACACCACACATTGCCCTCAGACATGACATCTCCACTGCCTTCAGCCTTCTCCTCGCTGCAACATTCATCACCCATGCTTCACACCCATATAAGAGCGTTGGTAAACTATACTCTCATACATTCCCCTCTTTGCCTCCAAGGACAAAGTTCTTTGTCTCCACAGACTCCTAGTGCACCACTCACTCTTTTTCCCTCATCAATTCTATGATTCACCTCATCTTTCATAGACCCATCTGCTGACACGTCCACTCCCAAATATCTGAATACGTTTCACCTCCTCCATACTCTCTCCCTCCAATCTGATATTCAATCTTCATCACCTAATCTTTTTGTTATCCTCATAACCTTACTCTTTCCTGTATTCACCTTTAATTTTTCTCTTTGCACACCCTACCAAATTCATCCACCAATCTCTGCAACTTCTCTTCAGAATCTCCCAAGAGCACAGTGTCATCAGCAAAGATCAGCTGTGACAACTCCCACTTTGTGTGTGATTCTTTATCTTTTAACTCCACGCCTCTTGCCAAGACCCTCGCATTTACTTCTCTTACAACCCCATCTATAAATATATTAAACAACCACGGTGACATCACACATCCTTGTCTAAGGCCTACTTTTACTGGGAAAAAAATTCCCTCTTTCCTACATACTCTAACTTGAGCCTCACTATCCTCGTAAAAACTCTTCACTGCTTTCAGTAACCTACCTCCTGCACCATACACTTGCAACATCTGCCACATTGCCCCCCTATCCACCCTGTCATACGCCTTTCCAAATCCATAAATGCCACAAAGACCTCTTTAGCCTTATCTAATACTGTTCACTTATATGTTTCACTGTAAACACCTGGTCCACACACCCCCTACCTTTCCTAAAGCCTCCTTGTTCATCTGCTATCCTATTTTCCGTCTTACTCTTAATTCTTTCAATTATAACTCTACCATACACTTTACCAGGTATACTCAACAGACTTATCCCCCTATAATTTTTGCACTCTCTTTTATCCCCTTTGCCTTTATACAAAGGAACTATGCATGCTCTCTGCCAATCCCTAGGTACCTTACCTCTTCCATACATTTATTAAATAATTGCACCAACCACTCCAAAACTATATCCCCACCTGCTTTTAAACATTTCTATCTTTATCCCATCAATCCCAGCTGCCTTACCCCCTTTCATTTTACCTACTGCCTCACGAACTTCCCCCACACTCACAACTGGCTCTT